GTTATTTTTAACACCTCGACACGTGTTTCGATCACAAAGTGATCATCTTCAAAGAGGAAGATTAAAAGTCACTTCCTCATATTTATATGAGGAATATTTCAAGATATTCCAAGAATATTCCCCAGGAATATTCTTAGAATATATTAAAGGTTCGCCAGGAACACTTCTAGGGAATATTCTCCAGAAGTTATATATATCCATGGCATATTCATAACATAATACAATATTCCTGAATGTATTTTCATGAAATATTTCTGGAATATCTATTGCTGTGTGGACTATGAATGAACTCCATCGATACAATTATTTGACCACAAGGTTGAAAAACTAGTGATATATATTCAAGCAATAATAAAACTGCCATCTATTAGCGAAAGGTATTATTTCCGTATGAAGAAGAATCAAGTGAAACAGAAATCTGTTTCACTTTCAAAAAATTGATTATTCTGTAATGACTGATTATCTCACAAAGTTATCTCCCTTCCTCTCAGATCAGTGAATAAAATGTTTTCTCTTTGAACATATCTAGACAAATGATTTCCAGATGATAAACGTCAATACTAGGGGGCGATTTTCCCATGTCTATCCTATGTAACTTCTGAATGAGTAGAGCATTTTACTGTTTGATCCGTTGAACTTTAATCGTGATCAAAATTTTTAAAACTAATTAGGTATCGGTGATTTGAATCTGCCTGACTGACCTAGTGTACTAATGCTGAATTTTTAAACATATACTGGTATACAGGGTAATTCAAATTCGACCCCCACAATTGGGATCTTCTAAACTACAGAAGATACGTCGAAGCCTAAATTGAATCAAAGTTAGGTTTTTTTGTACTCAACTACTTGAAACTTGAAAAATTCTGAATATTTCAAGATAAATCCGGGAAAAAATGGAAATCGGAATTTTCTTTTTTATTTTCTTGGCGTTATTTGACAACATATCCCAAAAAACATTTTCCTCAACTACTTGAAACTTGAAAAATTCTGAATATTTCAAGATAAATCCGGGAAAAAATGAAAATCGGAATTTTCGTTTTTATTTTCTTGGCGTTATTTGACAACATATCCCAAAAAAACATTTTCCTTGATACTTTTTGTACATTTTTAACAAACTCATGATTTCATGCATGGTTTTTGAAACTCACCGCTCTCAGCCAAGTGTTTGTCCAAAATACCGAATAATATTCTATCCGGCTGTTGTTTTTTCGGAAATAATTCAAAATTAATATGTATTGTTTTCGTACTATTTCAATTAAATAAATAAAGTTTCAACATATCTCGTTCTTGTTTTTTTTCCAAGAAGTCGTTTGTTGTACAATAAAAAGAGAATTGGACACAATATGGATCCCTGGGGAACACGAGCGTTGATTCTTCATGTTTCTCGATTGGGTTATTCCATACGATAGAAGGTCGCCTATTGATCTTTGTTTCCAAAAGCCATATTGATGATCGCTCAACATGCTGAAGCCTTCCAAATATTTGAGGATATGGTGGTTTACGGCTTTCTCCACGATTTTTGATATCACTGATAGAAAAGCGACTGGTCTATAGTTATTTGTGAGTTTTTTCTTTTTCTATGCAAATCATCAGGGATATTTTCCAAAAATAATTTCATCTTGGAACTGTTCCTAATCTTTACGATTTCCTTGTCACTGTACATATCGAAATATTGCGATTCTAACTTTGTCAAAGAATACAAATTTGTATTATTATCGATATTCAAAACGAAATGTCTGTGGCTTATGCTGGTTGTCAATAAAAAGCGTATGAAACTGATTCATAATGCGATAATCTTGCATTTGTGAAATTACCAAAAAATCATCATTGAAGGGAACTCCTGTATTATAAACTAGTTTTATTACTGTTATTTCTGAGTCAATATTAGTGGTTCAATGTTGATTCTCGAAATTTGTATGTGCACCTGTGTTTATTCTGATTTTTTGTTTATTGAATGGAATCGAAAAAACTTTTTTTCAAAATGTAAATGCAGAATATTTCAATTTAACCTGGACATTCAATTACGTAGAACCATGTTGAGTTTTTCTTTTAAAATTATGCCGTTCTCATTCAATACTATGAAAACTCTTGTTCTTGTTCGTATAATTTCGGAATAATACCTAACAATATTAGCCTCAATATGGGGTCCTAAGGAACTCCCATTTATTCTTGAACTTCTGTTACATTGCTTATAATTTGAAGATGTGGGTGTATTTTCGAATTATGGTATCTGGTTGATCATTAAATATGTTCACATTAGGTTTTCCAGTAAGGAATTCACAGGATATGAAAGGAATCAAAAATGATAGTTGTTACAATTCATTTGGTTGAAAACAATAAAACTAGTATTACTGGTGAACATAAATTTCATTCATAAATCAACACACAAGCTCGAACTTATTGTATATATAATTTTTGTACATATATTCACAAACTTAATTCAATATAATTTTATACAAAACATTTACAATACATTTCATTATGTGTATTACTTTACTTGCTAAATTTCATTCTATCATTTATTATTACTACAGTTTGACTAGAAACACTCGCTTCTTATAGATTTTTAATCTACGTATTTATTTACATATATAATATATCTACTAGACAGGGAACCCAGAAAATAGCACAAGTTGTAGTTTTTCCAGGTACTCTGCATTTATCAATTATGACTAGATCTATGACTAAACAGACGGATTTTAACATTACTGGCATTTATCCCCACGTTCATTCTCTACAAATTTTCCAGAATATGGCAATTTATTCACGTAAACTACAAATTTTGTTTTAAGTGTGGTAAGTTGCCGCTTGGAGCGTATTGCAAACTTTTTCCCTCGCCCGCACTCTCAGTAAAATCTAAATAAAACTAAAATCCTCGAAATATATGCGAGCACTTTTTGGTAATATTCTCATACAAGCTCAAGAATGAACTATAATGACATAATCAAAAGCAAAAATAATGTGATTATCGTCAATAATTGTAGAGTTTTACTTATTATATAAAATAGAAGTTTCAATTCCAGTGGAATTTTACTGACATGTTGAAATTTCTAATGTTTCACGTTCGAAAGATATTTATTCAGAAAATCAGAACACACTGCGTAGTTCAATGTAGCTGGTAAAATGTAATAAATTTATAATTCAATATATAATTTGGAACACATATTTGAGGTATCGCTTTCAGTGTTATTCTAAAATCAAATAGATTGAATATCACATACTTTAAAACTAACCTAGCAAAAATACTAAATTATGAGAAATGTAATACATCTATTTTCAGTTTCTATTTTATTATAAAATTTCGTGAATATATTCACGATTGACTAACAAGATTTTGGAATGATAATAGTATGGTTTCCAAAATGAGACTCTTAAAAATAATATGTAACAAGACTAGATTACAATGACTAGAAACAGTTGGTGTGACTAGAATAATTATACTAAATTGTAAAATTATACAATGACTATAAATGAAAAAAATTGACTAGAATGATAGCAGTTACTAGATGACTAGAGAAAACATTTTTAAAATAAATATTTCAGGTAATCACAATAAGGATACTAAATTATTAATTGCAAAAAATAAATAGTTCTGGCGACTAGAATAAGGATACTCAATTAAATACTGAATTTATGACTAGATATAATTTTTGGCAAGTCTTAATATTGGGGATATACTATGAACTTCGCTGATAGGTTGTTGAGATTGAATTATTCAACAAAGTTTCAATTCTAAACTATTTTTGGCAAATTGCTGTATCAAATATTCCTTCGAATCCATGACTAGAAACGACTTAATTCAAATGACTAGAAAAGTATAACCTAATAATTAATTAATATATCTATAAAATATATCAGGAAAAAGTGCCATTTTTCAAAATATTCTAAACATGCTGATAATTGTTTCTCAGAAGTTTTCTAATAGTATTATTCCTAATGATCCAGATAATTTCTGTTTTAAATTTTACTTTTATTATGCTATAATACGAATGCAGAAGACTTTTATCGCAACTGTCACCATAGTGTGCAAAATGTTATTATAATTATCAAATTTAGAAAATGTTTTATCTGATGATATCGAAATGGATGAAATATCAAAAATATTGCGTTAAGTTTAATATAATGTGATGATAATCTGACAATTCTCAGTGTCAGATTTGTCTACGCAGTCTGTAATCAGTCTTTTAGCGACTAATTACTTTTCGATTATCAAGGTTTTTTCCCAGACTAAGGAAAATTCTATAAGGCCAATTATTATATAAGTCATCGAGATACGCTACAAAGAGTGGTGATTTGTGTTCTTGTTTAAAAAACAAGAAGTTAGGATTAGAAAATAAAGTCTATTGAAAACTGAAAAATAGAGCATGGACATCTATCAAACTGAACGTTTGTAGTCATTCTTGAATATATTGCTGAATAAAAGCAGTAATAATATTGTATAAAACTGGGCCAATTTCAATTATGAATGGAGGTACTAATGACTGGTGACAGTTTCCATTCCATTTGCTAAAGTTACGGGATTCCTGTCTTACCGAACGTTAAAATCTCTCTTCAAGTTACACCCAGATTTGTCAACAGATTCACTGGGCATTGATACAAGAAGGGAACCTTGGAGAAGTTGTATGAAATGAAAACTTCTTGAACCAATTAGCAGCTTAGAAATATTTTCAATTATATATCTTATAGACACACAATGAGTATGAGATCATTTTGAAATCTGATTTCTGATAAAATACATATTTACAATATAATTCTTACCATATCTACGTTTTCGATCATTTAGGACGGTATGAAAAGAAAAAAATCACTCAGTTTGTGAATATATATACTTTTTCATATCATTGAATAATATGAGGCTGACAATGTATATATCTCTTTGAAGTCAAATGAAATTCTCAACTCTGAAAGTAATATACAAGTATATAAGGTCAAAGTAATATTGTCAAAATCAAAAAATATCATGTAATTAATGAAAATTCTGTTTTTTGATCCATCCAATATCAACCCAATAAGTATATGTACAATTTACACATTTTTGATAAAGATATATATACAATTGCTCTGAATGATAACTATCAAAATTGTCTCCACTATGAATTGAAACCGAAAAATGATCTTAACTATTAAATGGTATCATGTAAATCACAAATATTCCCTCTTTTCACACCGTCCAAGGCGAATCAATAAATATATGTACAATTTACAAATAAATTTACATTATTTACAATTTTCTCAGAAATTATTCATCCACGTAATGCTAGGGACGTACCTCTCAGGGAAAAAAGCTGTCGATTCTTGACTGCTGCAGATCGGTGGCAGCGGGGGTGGCCTCCAGAGACGGGGCGGTAATCTTGGGATGGGCCTAACCGGAACCAGCCGTTGTCATTCAATCTGGTGGATGGCTTGATGTTTCCTCAGGTAGGCGATTCTCCGGAAACGTTTACCACACTCACTGCAAGGAAACTGTTCAGCAGAATCTGGAAAAAAATTTAATCAAAATGGTATTACTAGATCAAATTTTGAGTGTTTTGAATTTCCTTCAGTTTTATTGTAACGGGTCAATTATTCGCTGAGAATTTAATTTAATTTTTCCTGAGGAAGCATTTGATTATCGTAACAACGTGTGCCCCATATAAGATATTCACATTCAGTAAAATATTGTATTGACATGTGAAGAGACGAAAAAACATTTCATTACAATTTTATCGTAATTACTATAGTTCAGAAACGTTGATATCACAAATAAACTTGGGAATAGTAGCGCATTCGCCATATTATTGAAAATGGTTTTAAAGTCGACGCAACTTACAGTTGACTATATGAAAATATATTTTCAACTAAGTCATCCAAAATCTTTTCTAATAATTTTCAATTATACATCAAATAATGTTGGTGTATCCGATATTTCATCATCTTTAAGACAGTTGAAATGAGTGATTAATCATTTTCTAGAAATATATTCATTGTGTTTTTTAAGCAAATGAATTTTGATACTTAAAAATGTCAATATCAATATGTGACAATTTGACTTAGGATATTGAAATATTTATCTATTCATCTATTTTTCTTTTTATCTTAGCAGAGTTTCATTCCACTGAAATTGAAGATTAGTCAAATTTAAACATATTCTACGTGACAAAAGAAACTGTTAGTTAAGATCTATTTCTATTTAGTCCACATAATATTGAAGAAGACGAAAGTAATGTTCTGGAAAAGTTTTTTGTTAACGGATGTTATAAATAATGTTCCTGGTCATATATGTGAAAAAGTCTATTTCAATAATCAACGGTACCCAATTGAATGAAAATATTAAAAGTTCGTATGGTCTAAGATTCGAAATCTATGAAATAACAAATTGAATACAAAAAAATCAGTTGAATGTTGAAATTCATAACAATAAGCAGTCCAAATATTTGGTTGTATTAGTAAATACAGAAATTAAAAAGAAAAAAGAAAAAAGGAGCAAAATTGTAAGAATACTAAATAATATGTAAAGGAAATTAACTATTGCGATCTGAAATGAAAATGGGATGAACAATATGTGATATGTCAACAAACGCAAATAATGTAAAAGGAACCCAAAGTTACAATAAAATATAGTAATTATCATAAATTCTGAAGAAAATGTCAAAAGAAAAATGAAAAATAAAAATGAGATTTCAAACCAAATCATATTACGATGTTCCTATGGTTAATATCCACAATCGTTTTTGGGTTATAACTAGATGAAAAACATAGTGAAAAATTGTGAAATGTGTCTCACGTTTCCACAGTTGTTATTTTTAATTCTCATTCATGAGTATCCTCGATATTTTCAAACAAAATTTTCATAATTTTGCAAGAACATCATCGGTATCTCAGCTGTGCCCAAATATAAATAATATAAAAAATATATTTTATGTTTCTTCAACAAAATATTTTTCATCTATCACAAAATAAAACTTGAAATTATTCATTATTATTCACAAACAGTTCTGTTTTATTTTTTCAGCAGAATTTTGAAACGGTTTGAAATGTCACCTATTCAACGCTTCAAGTGAGTTTTGAAATTTAAAAAACAAGAATCAATATTGATATTTTGATTTCACTAATTAAACCTGTTGAGTTTTTCTTAAAACTCATGCCTGTTCTCCAAGTAACATGTATATTATGATATAATGACACAAAAGTAGTTGATTTATTTTACACTTCGAAAGCGAAAAATTTAATCATTCAGGAAAGTTGTTGGCTTTCTACTTCTTTATCATTATACAAAAAAAATCTGCGAATCTTCCTTTCTTTGGAAGCAATTAAAATTATAAATCCCTCATAAAAATATACCCCTTTCAATTTACACAGAAATTATTTTCATAGACTTATGTGATGAAAATGAAATGAATATTCCATTTTAAATAAACAACATTATTTCAGTGGAATTTGATGTAATACTTTTAGAAATGTTTTATTGCAACTGAGATTCAACAGAAAAAGTCCTTGAATGAAAAAAACATTGTTTTTAAAACATATTTAACAATGAAGTTTTGCTGTTATTCATACAATACAAATCACGATACAACTTTTTCCATCAGTAGAAAGAAAAATTTGAATTTGCAGTTGGACTATAACTTGATAATTTTGAATTGAAAGTAAATCAAAATGAAATCCGATTTGAACTGATAGAGAATATTCGGTAACACATAAGTGAAAAATGCAGTACCTGAATTCCAAAACAAATATGAAAACTCACCTTCCGAATCTCCAGCCTCCTCTTGCTTACACTCTTTGATTGGTCGAGGTTTGTGCCACCTCCTGTGCGATGCCAGATTCGCAGGGCAATTAAAAACTTTATCACATTCAGGACATCGATACTCCACGTGGACGATTCTCGAACACCTATGCTGGGCCAGCCCGAAAGCATCCTCGTAGAGCTCTTTGCAAAGACGACATACGTAATCACCGATAACATTTTCGATTTTCGCCAACTCTGCTTTCGCTTCTTCGGTAATTTCGACGACGTTAAAGGCGGGATCGATGTCTCCTTTCCTCACTACCAAGTTTTCGTCAGGCCGCAATTCGCGGATGATAGTTCCAGAAACGGGAGAGCTGTTGTCTTCGTCAAAATTGAGTTTCCTTGTAGCTTTGTTTTTCTTCGACGGAGTGGCCGGTGTCAACTTTAGTTTCTTAGCTGGTATTTCCGGAGTTGGCGATCCGAGGCTCTTCTTACTTCCCGGTGAAGGGGTACATGGTGGGGTAATCGGTGACTGGTTGTGGTGGGTCTTCAAGCTCAAGTCCAGAGGAGATACTGTGCTCAGTTCCAGCGGCTCCGAGAATCTGAAGAAGTGCTGTTGCAAGTGGAAAAACTGCGGCTCTAGCGCTAATCTGTGCAGATGATAGTGATTCCTGAAGGTTGCGAATTCCATGTCATGATGGTATTGCACACGAGGCATCCCTCGCGTAGTGCCACAGCCAACTGAGCTACATTTCACTGTGCACACTTCTTTTAGTCATCTACGGGTTTTAAGTCCCAATAAGAGCTTCACCCCGCCTAGTCGGTAAACGAAGCGTGCGCTAGGTGGGGCGAGTTCGCACCCCTATTGGACGACTGGCCGCACTCCCAGCGTATTGGCAAGAGAGAAATCACGCTTGATGTTCAGTTGTTCGTAACGGATTTTGCTTTTACACGGATGATTTTTCGTAACGGTTTTTAGGCAATTATTGTCGTGTAACAAATCATTAGAGGGATTCCCTTGCAGATGTCGATTTTACACCCCCGGTTGTAAATAGATAGGAGTTTAGATAGAAGCCTTTCGGGTGATTTTTTTACGTTTTTAATTATGTCGGGTGGGTTTTATCTGTATAGTTTCCGTGAATTTATTTGTTGTGCTTCCTGTTAAATTTTAGAAATTTGTCCGGTAATTCATTAGCGATTTGTGTTGAATCATTTCCGGGGTAACGAATAATTTTGGCCTTCGTAAATGAAGCACTTTAGAGCAATTCGAACAATTCATTTACTTAAAAGTGTCCATGGATGGAAAAACGCCGTTCAATAAAGTGGGCAAAATGATTCCATACAGTATTCATTTCAGGTTAGTCAAAAGACTAAGCAGCTGTTTGAAAATTTATTTTTGAGCCAATGACTTTGTATTTGCCATTCCAATAATAGTGACAACACAAACTATGATTTTGTATTCAGTGTATTACAAAAAATTTGGTCCAATAGAAATGGAAGTTATCTTAAATAAAATAATGGAACAGCTAGATATTTTGTTTATTTGATTCATTTCCTGATTTCGATTCGCTGGTAGAAGTGAACATTTCTTTTTGGTAAAGAAAGTTTTTTGCTTTCCACTACTCCATTTTGATACAAAAAAAAATTAATCACCCCTGAAAATATAACCCTTTTAATTCAAACATTTCTTATATTGTAGAAAGATCAGTTCTAATTAGGAAAAAAAGTGATGAATCTTTAAAAATTTCGGCATTTTTTCAACGAAATTTTGTGATAGATTCATCTTCCAAATAATTACAATGTAAAAAATTCATCTACATACTGATATAATACTAAGTAAATGAAATATTTTCGAAAGAGATATCCAAAGCAGGACTGATAAGCCTTTCACAAAAGGAAGGTAGTCAGGACGAATTATCCCAAAACGTACTCCACGAAAAATATGCCGTTATTGATAAAAGGGTGGCGTAGTCTTGATTTTCAAAATTGAGAGAGTTAAGACCTACAAAATGTTTTTTAATGTATTGAAAAACGTTGTATTGCATTTTATTGAATCGAGGATCATAAAATCAGAAAGTATTATCTTCTTCAATCTATTGGTGAATCAGATAAAACAGTATCAAATATGATGATGATTGAATTCCCACTGTCTTTACTTTCGGGAATCTACTTTGGTTTCTATTTCTCACATATAAATTTCAATTACCTCCTAGAACCATTAAGGAATCAACGATTTTCTTATTTTCACTCCTCTGATAGCGATCCAGGATTCTAGCTATCTTTATCGTCAACTATATAGAAACTAGGTGCTCCAAAATCTTCGCCAGATATTCAAGGACGATCTTTACTTCTGAGATTCGACTTTGGATTCTATATCTCACATATAAACTTCAATAACAATCTTCATTTTAATTCGATGTAGGTGAGAACGTTCACTACAACCTTGATTTTGATTCGACCCAAATTACAACGTCAACCACAAGTTTGAATTCTTCTTGAATTTTTTTCCCAATTCCCCCTTTTTTTTGATTGCCTGAATTTGTCTGGCAGAACTCGAATAATAGTAGAAATTTACTGATATGGAAAATGGCTCTACTTTTATAATAATATTTATATTGTACCTTTGAAGTTGGATTATTTCTCTTCTAAAATTTCATCCTTCACTCATAGTTCAAAACTTAGGCCATATTACTACCTGTTCCATCAGTCCCGTTGAACATAACACATTCTATACGATTCTAACTACGACATCTTTGCAAACGTAGGTAAATATCCTTGTTTGCACCTCACTTCCCGCTTCGTGTTAATCACTAATACGGAATAAAAGAAAAAGTTTACTTGACATTAGTTTGTCCACCCGACCGTAAGATGGATGAATTAGACAACATTAACAATTGATATGAAATGTAAAAAGCTGTCTGAATTTTGGCTATTATTTACGAAGAACTACTGCAGACTGCTTAGAGGAATCCTAGATCTGTGAAAATAGAAATTTGAATCATTGGGATCTGAAAGTTTGAATAGACAGGGAGGTTTTCTTCATGTTCAGATTGCCTCGCAAACAGTATAAAATGAAAAGTGAAAAAATTAAATGTTATTGATCCATGCTGCGAGGTCTTTTTTTTTTGTTAAATCTGCTCTCAGTGATTTTTTGAATTATACGCCGATGGGACCACGTGTTGTAGATGGTACGAAATGAATGTGAGCCACTTAATTGAATCTTGAAGATGAAGAATCTATTGGAATTTGGTTTCAGAATTCATTAATATCCCGAGTGTAGCCTGTTTGTAAGAATATTGATTTGCTTGTTTGGACGGGGTTTCAAATTGATATTTTTTGCGCATTGCAGAATTGCACACATATCAACCTGGAAGACGAAAAGGCATTGAACAACCTGGTAACTGTGTTATGAATTTCTTCTGGCACAGTACATTCCAGCTCCCGTCCCATGTTCATTTCACTACCATGTGCACCAGATTTTTCAGATATGTATCCAAAAGTCCAGTTCCGAGGAACACACGCAATTTTAAAAGTAGAAGTTTCAGTCTCTTCAGCAACATTACTGGATAAATGTCGTTTGTCTGGGTCTGCTTGATCTCTTCATACTGTTACCTTCATGAGTTTTCCTTAGAAATCCTAAGAATTTTGTTGTACCATATTTCATTGCACTCTCAACGGATTTTGTAGTTGTTTAGTTCGTACCAGATTCTAAATCCCCTTTTCAGTTGCTCTGGCAATGGATACTGACTTCAGAGTCACAGAGGCCAGCAACATAGTTTGGATTAGTTATTTCAGATGCGGCGTTGAGAAGTCTAGTGAATTCAAATAAAACGATATCATAGGCCATTGCTGCCTTCTAAAACTAATTTTGTCGTTATGCAAACTCAAATACTGTCCTCATCTCACTTGATATATCGATGACTAAATTGACTAACAATACAAAATTACATTAATAAAAGTCTGGTTGAGATACTTTGACACCTTCATAATATGGAACCATGGGAATACAGAACTAGACACCTTCCTGAAGCACATCAACAACGTAGGTTCTTCCATTTCTTTCACAATGGAGAAGGAACTTCACACAACGAATTGCCATTCTTTGGTGAAGAGGACCGACATTAAATGGGAAACATCTGTATACCAAAAACTTACTCACACGAGACAGTATCTGAACCAGGAATCCAACCACCATCAATCGACCGTGCTTTCGGGCTCTGTAATACAAAGAAAGGTATCGAGAAGCAACTAGGCATCATTAAAAATTACCTCCAACGAAATGGTTACCCCAAAGTTATGATGGAACAGAGTTTGGCTGAAAAACAGAAAGAGCCTCACAAGGAAGAAAAACCGACACAACCAGTAAGTACTTGTAATTCCCTACATCAGTGGATTGTCGGAAAGAATAAGAAAAATTGGGTTCATCAGAACCCACTTCAGATCTGGGAGCACTACCTGTAGCAGCCTCATGAAAACCAGGCCACTAAACACAGAATGCGATTACAATAATTGCATTTACCTGCATGCCCTGCGAGTGTGGAGAATCATACATCGGTGAAACTAAGAGGCCATTGAAAGTTCGCATTGCCGAACACAAGAAACGCACACAGCGAAGAGAAACCAGAAAATCAGGACTAGCATGTTTGGACTCATCAACATAACATCAAGTGGTCTCAAGCTGAAATCATTCACAAGGAGGAACACTGGTTTAGGAGAAAATTCAAAGAAAGCCTGATATATGTTATCCAACAACGCATTTAGCCAAGCCAGCGTAGAGATACACAACATATGGAAACCTATAATCAATCGGACCACGACCAACTTCCACCAGACGGTTAGCTCCCGCTAAAACCGATGAAGCGTAGAGAGGGAAGAGGGGATACGTCAAAGTACTCAAATGACCTTTAAATAGTCAGATCTCGGAGAAATAAGTTCAGTCACCACCCGAAGACGATTGTGGATACTAAAAAACGAAACGTCGTGAAGTAATTTGACTTGATATAAATGTTATTTGTAAGCTAAATCTTTTTTATTTTTATAGATTCTTTCAGCGATTTCAAATCAATTTATATCATAGTAGAAAATGGAAGGCCAAACTAATGAAATAATACAAAATTATTTTCGTGTATCTTCTTTTCAACAGAACGTCACCAAAATATTTTTAAACTTGATGCCATTTTTATTACAAACAAAACTTAAAACACTTGTTGCCTCGAATTCTGAACAAAGGGATATCGAAGTGGTTCAAGTTTGTACACTGCACTATATTTTCTTCAATTTATCTCATCTTATTCAAATTGGGAGGTGAAGCCTGAGAAATACTTCACAAGATCTCTCAATTACTTTCAACACTTTCAAAGCAAGACCTATCTCATATTTTTTGTAATTTCACAAGAATTCTATCGTCTCGGCTAGGAATGTTATCGTCTTGGCGAAGTTCACGTTGATAAAGACAACTTGCTCCATTTGCTCTTTGAAACTGTCAATACAGAGTTGTTTGTGTATTGGGTGGGTTGCTGCATTGAGAAAGTCGCTTAGTTGAAGTAAAATCAAGTTCAGGTTCAAGTAGTTAATGTCTTGTTATGTCTAAATAAATCTCGGTATATATTCTAGAATCAACGGTGACAACTTTTGCGATGTCTGATAATTTTCCACTTGGAGGTAATAAATTATAGTTCTATGTTTCCAAACGAAAAATCTGTTTCTCAAGCTATGGATAGATATCATCGATTTAAATTATA